ACTAGAGGGAAGGCAGCTAGTCACCACCACCCACCTCCAACTCTTTTATCAATGAATAGTGGGATTGACCGTCACATATAACGCCCCTACGGCTGAAAGGGCGAGCATGTTTGGTGGGACGGGGATTCGAACCCTCGACCAGCAAATTTCGAGTCGAACTTCCATGCCGGACCTGGTTGTAGTGAGAAGAGCGATTTCCCTTCTACATTTCATTTGTCTAGTCTTTATGTTCTGAAGAGGATCTGAATTGCGACAATGCATTAGAGAATTTATATTACTGGTCGTTTGAAGCGTGTTCCTGACCGACTGTGTGTGCTCTCTTGTGATCCAGTTACTTCTCTGAACTGTTGATTCTTTTGTGAAACTCGATTCCGCTGGTTTGATTGAGCCCAGTTATGGAATATCAGTCTATTTGTGGGTTTGTTAGTATGCACTTCTCTTTTTTGGTCTCTGACCAACTATATGGATGTTCATTCTTAAGGCGAGTCGGCATCTTTCTGATTACACTTCCTAACGACTTATTGTATTTGACAAACATTTAACGAACCAGTTGCTCTCTGCATTATGGAAATGTTTACTTGTCTCAGTTGAGGTTCTGACATGTTTCACCATCAATCTGGATTACTCAAAACACACTGCTTGCTTCAGAATGGCAAATGAGCGCACATTCCTATAGTAACTATATACATATATATCACATTGTGTAAGATGTGTTACTGCCAATATTTACTAACAGTACTTGTGCCTCCACGTAATTAGAATATGGAACACTCCGATTATCCCTTAATTGTTTTGAGTTATGCATATTCACATTGTACAATAGTTTTGAGCCTTACATCCAATTTCTGTAATATTCTAACATGTCTTTCTTTATCTTTTGTTTCTTTCATTTGCTTGTGTATAACTTAACCCTTTAAACATATCTAATTTTAGTTATTAATTTAGGAGTCTGAAGTTTTATCACGAAGTACACTTTTCTGACAAGTTTTAATTGTTTTCTTTTTAGTTAATTCTGGTATAACTTTATACATTTTACGTAACATCATACCTATAGTGCTATGCCATTAAAATCCATCAAAATATATATATATTTTTCTCTTTTATATAAAGAGAGTCTCATAATTACATATCTTAATGAATATCTATGTAGAATAAACAAAGTATTGATAACTTAAATTATAAAGTCAGTCGTGTCAGCCAGCCACTCAAAATATTACGTGTGATGCAGTATTCTGTTATCTGTCAATGGCGAGTGGGTATGAAAGCCAGACATTTGGTGTTATAAGCCTCCAAACTTACTGCTGAGCTACCAGGGGCGCGAAGTTGATAAACAAGTTGAAGCATTTCCATAAACATTCAGATGTATCTCAGTAGGAAAAACACGCTAAATATTAAAGATACCAGTCAAACTTCATTATGTCATATTCGTTTCTTCGAATTGTTTGTAATTATATTATATTGTCGGATAAGGGTAAATATTAGTTTAGAACTCTGACATATGATAATAGGTGAAAAATAATTGAGTTTGAAGTTTCACAAAAAAATCTAAATCTTTCGTTTAATTACCTCATTAATCAAGTGCTCTACAATCCTAAGCTAATTTTAGTCATTATTGTATTAAGCGTCAACACTCAGTCCAAAACAAAGTTTCTTCTTGTTTTTAATAAATTTTGGCGATACTGTTATTTTAAAACAATCTTTTATGAAACTTCCACTATTACTGAAAGTAATTAGTTATTATATGTCACACGATGTAAGTAAAACTTTGATTTTACTAACATTAATCAACACATTTTAATTACCACAAATTTTTCAATTATCAACATGAACTTATTTTTGTTAAAGTGACTGTGCACATTTTTACCTTAATTTCTAAACAAACAGGAAACAATGCACACTATTTCAAATTCCAAATTATACATTCTTCTAAGCACGTAATACTGTATTACTACTACGCCCATAATGTACAAGATACTCGTTCCATTGTTCGAGTTAACGTATTGTTTTCCCAGATACCAAAATTAAAACATACTAAGGACAATGTTTTAGAGTGATAATAATTGTGGCTCTAACAAACATATGGCATTGTTAAATATTCATTAGAATAATAACTTATAACTTCAGTGTGTTGCTAGAAATACCTAAACATTGTACTACAAACAACATTTGATACAATCAATAAGTTTGTCATTGTTATAAAGAGACCTGTGCCATTTACAAATTTCAAATATAATACCCGTTTAAAATAAAAAATGTAACGTAACTTGCCAGCACCTAAATAATGTATAATAACTTTAATGACCCAATAATTACCCAATGACGGCTATTGTAGTAATATAAATGTTTATTATATTTATAGTGTTAGTTTTAATTCTCAAAATTGCTAAACTGGTGTAATCAAATACTTGTTTACAGGTATCAAAATAGCATTTTGATCACGTTTTCAACTATAAACAAACTAATAAATGTAGAGCCATCATAAAAAATGGCTTCATGTTTTAATTTAAAAAACACTCAGAGTTAAACCCCCGTCGCACAGTGTTTATTACTATTGCAGTAACTTACCTAAACTATACACTAAACTGTTACTCACATTCAAACCATTAGGACGAAGTGAAAAGATTCTCATTCTATCTGCAGTTCTTCTCGAGTTTTCACCGTTCTTTTAATCCTAATTAGCTACCATTATAACAAAAGTGGTCGAACTTTAATGTGACTTTGACCTTCGAGGTACATTTATCAAAAGTTAATGAATTGGTTCTTGGTTGACGGACATTCAACCACTGTATTCAAAGTTGATTAAAATTATATTAAAACTTTCTAAGTGTTCACACACATATACAAAATAATTAAAGCAATATCCCCGACATCGGGCGGGGGATATTAGGCATCGCTAGTAAAGATAAAATGCTAATAAGTGTGTAGAAACATCTTTAAAATACCTTGCGTGGATGTTGAGACAAAACAAAATAACATCCATTAAGATATATTTAGACAGCTTATTTGACTAACACAGTGCCTCAGTAAATTGTTGCTACACGAATATGTTTGATGCACGGAAATAACGAAGAGATAAGGTTATTTTTGATATGTTTTGGTGAGGTTTATTTTGAATTTTTGTTTTGAGGAATACAAATATTATTTTCAGATATTTCTTATTTGTGATAGATTTTTAGATCTTAAAAAGAGAAATATGAAATAGGTTATGTTACCGTTCTACTTTAACCATAGAGTGTGACGTGATTTTCTGAATGAAACAATTGAGGTAATTTTACATAATAAATTGGCTAAGTATATTATTATATATTTCAACGACTACTATCCTAAGAATTAAAATCAATTGCATAAAAATAATTTTAACGATTCTTGAAATTATAAAATAGCCAGCTTTTTTGCTTTGAGAATGTAGTAAAAAACTATCTTATAAAATGATAACGTATTGTTTTCATACTACACACATGTGAAAATCAGGAACCAAATGAAAATAAAATGGTAGATATTATAATAAACAAATTATCATTTGTTATTTTAAATAGTAGATGCACGTTCTATTGATTTTTACTGACTAATTTGGGATCGCGGAATAAATAACTATACATTTGAACTCTAGAAATATAATACTTAATACGTTATAAATGTCAATTTGTAGCTTTTATTGAGATATATACGAGAATTATTATTATTAAGTATATGTCAGGGTAGGTTTCAGTAGGAAATTTACCAAAGTATAATTATTAACTTAATGATACATATATATTCTAAGATGATTTTTGTTTATTGTTGCACATTTATTTCGTCAAAAAAGGGAAATAAATACTCTAAGGTAATTAAACACGTGACATTTCATTCTAAGATTATATGTGATTTTTTACTTGCTCAAATAGCATGTTTGCCTAGTTCATTGTAATTATAGTGAACACTAGTGTAAGAGTTCCGAGTTCTTTTTATAGCCCAAAATTCCTGAATATTTTAACTGTACATTAGTTTTCTATAGTTTTTACATGATCAAAGGTATACCTATAAAATGATAACGTAACTTATAAGTTGCTCATTTATATCTTCGTACTTTTCGTACATAACACAAAAGTAAATTAGTTATAACTACTAACGACATTTGATATGCTTGTTAAACAGTTGAATATTGATAATTAAAAAGCAAAATCATAAGATCATAGGTTAATATCTTTTACATCATGCTTATTACAGTCGGCGATACATACAGTCCCCGGTGGGACGGCGGTAAGTTTACCGGATTTCAAGGCTAAAATCCGGGGTCCGATTCCTCACGGAGGACGCAGCAGTTAAGAAAATGTGGCTTAGGTCTAAAACAAACGATACATACAACATGTTGCTAGTGAAAAATTATATTTTTCTCCCAACAAATACCCCATTTACTTAATATTTATTCTGCATATGGTATTTCTTATTAACTAAAGCTATTGTATCAATTTATGCCTTTTACTTTACCTCTGGTGGAACTTTGTTTCCTTATAACACGAAGTTTTAAGGTACAGTAATTTTCATGAATAATTATTATTCACAATTATCCTACATATTAAATCTGAAATATATACGTGTTGAATGTCATGTTATTCTAAGACTATGTCTATCTGGATGACTCATGCTTCTAGACTTAATTCTACTAAATGAAACAGAAATATGCTCAACGTACACTGAACATTTAAAGGAACCTTCTCGCTCTGACCTCTACCAACAACATTATCAGCTTGACACTGATAGGTCCCACGATGCTGTTTCCCAACATTTTGAAGACGCAGTGATTTCCCAATGATAACGATTCCTCTTGAGGGGTCGCTAAAAAGTCTTTCATCGTCTAAGAGCCATTCTACTTCTCTAATTTGAGGATTGGCGTTGATGTTGCATTCGAAGTAAACATCGTGACCTTCCCTAATTTGCTCGTCTTGAACACTAGCCCCGAGGACAAGAGAAAGCTTCGGTTGATCTAAAAATATAATATCATCTTTAAACTAAGTGTAAAATAATTCTGTGACAAATTTTATGTGTCAAAGCAAGATACTATATATATAGCTATGGATCATACTATATGATTTTCGCAGTCATAAGTTACTGGTAACAATAAAATGCTGTTAATTTATAGTAGATAGCTTTGTAGAGACAAAACAGTCTTGATTTATTTCTATCAGTGTATTAAGGAGTATAAAAATTATCCATGTTTTCAGCCAAGTGTTTCCTATTGGAACAACATGAACACAGTTGTAACAGCACATAGCCGTAGCCTTAAACTACGAGGATTGCTTCTGTGATATCGAAAATAACTCTTGACCGATCTAAAGGTATCCTACGTTATTTAAAACTACTTTATGCTATTAAATATATTTAGATTCTTAGATAATTCAAATTGTAGGTTATATTTTCTTTCTGATAGCATAATAAAAAATGCGTAACATCCTAAAGAGTGCAACTTCATTGATAAAGAGTAAGTGTAGATATCATATCAATAAATTCCAAAAATAATATTTTCTTTAATAAAAACACCAGCTTTAATGAGACAAAAAATCTCCTAATTTCGTAAGTTTTGTTTCGGCTTCAGATTGGGAAGTTACAGACTGTCATAATTTTTTTTTTTTTTTAAATAACTGAATATTTATTTTTAAAGATTTAAATTTA